ACAGCGCATCCATCCGGCGTTCGCCCGGTGGTAGATGGCATATTCGGCGGCTCGGGGCGCGTCCAGTGCGAACAACGCTGCGTTTCGGCGGCAGGGGAATTTCGGTCACTGTAGAAAGCGGATGTTTCAGTGTGAACTAGGCATTAGAGATGTCGCAGCAAGTGTGGCGATATTGGCATTGTCTATACGTCCCCGCTACGCTGGGGCAAATATAATGACGTGAATAAACTTTCTCCCTCTTTTTCTCTACCTTTGGCATTGTGAAATAATAATTTGATAATGCGATGAGAACCGTTTTTGTCGAGTGATTCTTGAAAAAAAATACGACGCCATTTTGGTCGGCATTCTGTTTTTTTTTCCTATTTTGCTGAATGTATCGGTCTTGGTAGAACAGACGCACAAACAACGCAATCGAATTCCGGAAATGAAGGACAGTCACTGGCGCTAACTAGCAACTACGTGCTGCGGCTTTATTGAAGAAAAAAAAAGTTTTCTTGATGCATAAAGAGCTGATGCGTAAATATTGCAAGAGCACCATATAAGAAATGCTCAGGCACCCCACCACGGTCGGTTTCTCGGCCATTTTCGGCAGTGTGTCCATTTTATCAGAGCATCAAGACGAAACCACTATCAAACTTGATAGATGCCTTTCGCACTGTATGACCTGTGCTGACTAATTAGTATGTTAATCGCTATCGTAACAGGGAAGAAGTATTCGTATCTAACTCACGTGGTGCACTAATTATCTTCGCGTGTCTTTGTTGTTGTTTTTTTTTCCTTGCCTATTTAATACGGACGACCTCTTTCTGTAGTGCTTGTGCCCCTCTTGACTTTCTTTGTAACGTGATAGCGTTAACCGGCGTCGATTTAGGCGGCGTTGGTTGTGAGCGAGAAAATCATTGTGTTGTCCGTAATCTAGAAAGAAGCAAATAAGATAATAACATAATTTCCGGGTCCTAGTGAGGATAGAATGCAGGCCGTCTACGTGGAAAGCAGTTGTCCTATCACAGAGCCGTTAAATTTGTCAAATCTGCCTAGCAAGAAAAAAAAAAAAAGCACGTGCTATGAATGTAAGGTTGTGCTAAGTGTCTCTCTCTTTAACGCATCACATACTTCGTGGCAGAAACGTAGAATCGCGCCGAGCGTCACAAAAGATGTGAACAGCGCAACGAGTGGGTGTTTTTAAAGACCCGCCCATTACAAAGTGTTCAAACATATTTAATCACCATCAGCTCGCACCGGAACCACCAACAAAGTGAACAGCTGCTTATGTATGCGTTTACGTAAAGTCCTTAGATTCTTTTCCGTCAACTCTTTAATGTTTACGGGCGCGTACTGGGCCCTTCGCTGATTCGCAGAAGAAATGATTACGGCGTATTATGGCGGGCACTTCACAACTGTCACGGCCGCTGAATAAAGTAGGCGGTCGTGCAACTGTGCTTTCAATGATTGTTTGAAACGGCAGTCGTTCTTTTCCTCAGTACGGCGCGGTTGAAATATACGCACCGAGAACCGAAGCAGGTTAATTCAGAAGAGCACGCGCACGAGGCCCGATTACACTATCGAGATTACGGGCATCGTAAAAACGGCATTGCTGCGGGTGCGAATGAGATCAGCGTTGATGTAAAAACGGCATTGCTGCGGGTGCGAATGAGATCAGCGTTGAGCGATCGATGTGGTTATAATATATTTAAAAAATAAAAAAGCGATAAACCACTAAACTAACAAAACACAGTGGCCAGCAGATAAAGAACCGGCGATGCGCGACTGTTAAAAAAAGGAGCAAATAAAACTGCTTATGAGTCATACCCGAATCCACACGTCCCTCACGCCATGTACCCGGTACTCTACACGATAACGATATACGCGACCAATGCAAACTCACCCCGGCTACGCTTAGACACGTGCTCTGGAAGTGCACTACAATGTATAACGACGCTAACCCCGATGCTACTTCGGCGAGGTGGGCGGCTGCCTTGCGTAGCTCCAGCCTAGCCGACCAGAAATGGGCCGTCCAGCAAGTCCGCGATGCGGCTGTTAGAGGCTAGGCCTCTCGGTCCCAACGTGGGAGCCCTGAGCGCGTTCGTGCTTCTTGCAGGACAATAATAAATGTCATTCCATCCATCGTAAAGCACCACTTGATTGCGGCTTACGCTTGCCTCTCCCCTTGCGTTACGGGTCTCTCCTAATTTCCGTGTTTGCTCGTTCCCATGGTCGCACAGGTAATTTGCTCGTAACACACTTGGCGTGGCATCTTAGGGCCGTTCCACGCGCTTCCCGCACAGCCGCAACGCACGTACCGGCACACCTTCCGCAACCAAGCGCAGGGTGAAACGAGCGTCGCCCATTGGCTTACTTCTCCCCCGCTTGAGTGCGGCAGGATTCCCGACACGTGCGTTGCGGCTGTGCGGGAAGCTCGTGGAACGGCCCTTAGCGGGTATCGGCGCTTCTAGTTACACCCGAGGACGTGGGTTCGAAGCTCTGTCACTGCGGTCAGTATTTCGACGAAATGCGAGAAAACGCGCACCGTAACCCTAAGTTGGTTCTAATGCTCGTCAGACAATTCCAGGGGGTCAGAATCGATCCGGAGGCCCCCGGTGCGCTGTGTCTCGTAGCTATATCGTAGCTGGGTTGCCCAAAAACCTCAGAAGAAGTTAATCTTTAGACTTGTTAAATTAGTAGCCCCGCCGCGGTGGTCTAGTGGCTAAGGTACTCGGCTGCTGACCCGCAGGTCGCGGGTTCAAATCCCGGCTGCGGCGGCTGTATTTCCGATGGAGGCGGAAATGTCGTAGGCCCGTGTGCTCAGATTTGGGTGCACGTTAAAGAACCCCAGGTGGTCAAAATTTCCGGAGCCCTCCACTACGGCGTCTCTCATAATCATATGGTGGTTTTGGGACGGTAAACCCCACAAATCAATCATTGTTAAATGAGTAGATGTAACCGAGAGACTCATCGCAAAGAGCGACAACTTTCGTTGCCTCGGTATGCTGTGTTGATGATCTTCACACGCTGGGGTCAGACAATGTGTATGAACTAGTTTTACTTCGATCTTTAATTTTTCGCCGCTAAGCATCTGCGAGCTATCCCCACCCCCCTCTCTCTCAGATGGACATTATCCCGACGAGTCAACACATTTCCATTGCGTTTGCGAACTCTGCCTGATACGCGCCGCCCAAATCGGAGAAATCACTGTCTTGGTGCTGGACGACAGTTTACTCATCGCGTACACCACGAGCAGGTGACAGATCTGCCGCTATGGGGGAAAAAAAATATCTGCAAACAGAAGCTTTGGGCTCGAGCCGACGCTTTGCAAGTGGGCTCGTCTTCTTCAAGGTTACAACTATAAGCTAGTTCTATCCGTGGTCTTTCTAGGGTTCTTGACACCAGTGTCCCAACTTAGAGCAAAAATCCGTGAGTTATCTCTAGTACTCCTTTTAAACATTGGTTCAAGCATACACACTCTAAATTAAGTTAGAGTGAGGAGACTATAAGATGTTCATAAATCCAACCAGTGGTCTAGCCAGGAGGTGGCAGGCCAGGCCCGTGCCCCCCCCCCCCCCCAACGTTCCTACGCCTCTGCATCCAACTCCCGGCTAGCCCCATGTGGGGACGGGGAGGCTCCGGCCTCTCCGCGTAAAACATTTTTAGGGTTTGGGAGGGTGTCCTGATTCCCCCGAACGATCTCCTGGCCACGCCACTGTTCTGTATCGCTTATACTAGGCGTGACCCTGCAGATAATTTCAGTGACGGTGCTCCGTCAGGGTGATCCCATACACTTTTTTACTGTTAAACGAATCATATCGTGACTGGAATAACATGCCTGCCCCCAAGCGTTATCGTTTATGAGCAGTTCTGAAATGCAATAGCTAATATTGTATGCTCAGGTTCTATTTGTGTGTGTGTGTGTGTGTGTGTTTGTGTGTGTGTGTGTGTGTGTGTGTGTGTGTGTGTGTGTGTGTGTGTGTGTGTGTGTGTGTGTGTGTGTGTGTGTGTGTGTGTGTGTCACCACTGCCCGTCTTCAAAGGGACACTGAAGAGGCACCCTGACTTGGTCTAGACTGACAAGCTGTACTCTGAAAACTCCATGACATGTTTCACCATCGTAAGCTCATTATTAGCGGAGAAAATCAAAGTTGAAGTTCGCCTTTAAATTACGCGCCTAAATCTGCGCGTGTGACGTAAGAAATTTCCAAATGTATTTTTGGTATTTGCGTGGTGGCATTACTAGCTCGATGAAGTTTTCTGAAACTTCCTATGCTAAGTCTGTGGCACCCACAGGTGACAATGTACTTCATTTCTACCGACTGGAAGCTACGTAGGACTCAGACGCTTTCGAAATTTCTTACGTCATGGTGCTCGGTGCGGGAAACTCAAAGTAGCATCGTCACCCGCTTTTTTTTTTTTTGCCCACTAAAGCGTCGTGTCGCGGTAAGAGCGGTGTTTTCGGGATTGTGAAATTGTACTTTACTAATAATAGAATAATCGTTTTGCTCTTTAAATTCATCCAGCCCTGAGCTGTGCTTCATGCTATATTCTTGGGGCTATATGCGGAGGAACGCTGAGAAAAAAAATAGAACGTCAACTTCAACTCTGTCGCCTGCATATCTTAATTTTTCCAGCGAGTTACGACCGCGAACTTTGTTTCTTGGGTTGTACCGTAGTCTTTATCTCGTCATGCTTTGCGCACGCGCGTATGTATCCGGGCGTGGGCCGTATAAGGTGCCTCAGTTGCCTGTATATGTGTATTGACTTGATTGCGATCCGACGGGAGGGAATCTTGGAGCGCCAGCAGATGATAGCACGGTTAATTAGTAGCGATTAGTTTCATCTTTCGTCTTGTCATCCAGATACACGGCAGTAAGTTTCTTCGCCCTACCGCTGGTTTATCAGTTCACTGACGTTCGAGGGAATCCAGTTGTCGAATGGCTGGTGGTGGCGCGATCCCCCATGCATCCTTGCTGATTGATTGATCGATTAATTGAGTGATTTATTTATTTGCAGGAAATTGCGGACAAGGAGATCGCCGAGCTTCCCCTGGACAGCTGCTACACGCGCTTCCACGGCCGCTGCGTGATCACGTCTCGGGCGAGGAGTTTCGTGCGGCCGTGGCGGGTGTCGCGCATGATGTTCCGCCACCTGGCCGACTACAACTACCTGTCCGGGGTGCAGAGGGCCATGTGGTAGCCCCGCCACGTGCTGCACAGCCGGCCTGCGGTTGTTATAGTTGTGCAAATGCACAACTATAATTAGAGTATTTTGTCGCTAATTAGAGGATTTGCTAATTAGAGGATTTTGTCGCCTTTATAGCCCTGTCTTTGGCACCGCTGACTGTGCGCAAGTAGGGTGTCTCGTGTAGACATTCCCAGTAATAAAGTCTAGTGGCTAAGGTACTCGGCTGCTGACCCGCAGGTCGCGGGTTCATATCCCGGCTGCGGCGGCTACATTTCCGATGGAGGCGGAAATGTAGGCCCGTGTGCTCAGATTTGGGCGCACGTTAAAGAACCCCGGGTAGTCGAAATTTCCGGAGCCCTCCACTACGGCGTCTCTCATAATCATATGGTGGTTTTGGGACGTTAAACCCCACAAATCTAATCTGCTATTTTTGTTGTGATTATCATAGAGTATTATGTGAGCGGTTAAAGACACGTAGACAACGTTCAACTAGCACAAGAATGCGAACTGTTTTACATCAAGGTTACGCGAGCACGCAGATACGCAGAGAATAAACTATAATCCTTTCAGTTCACCTTCATCCTAGCGTATGTCTGGGTTTCACTGTCTGGCGAGATTCTCCCAGTCTCGTTCATTGTCTGCTGAGTCACCGCAATGCATCTCGGCCTCTTTTCTCCGGAGTCGAAAAAACTGCGGCGGCGACGGCACCAAGCACCCTCGTACCGTCGCGATAACGGGACAGCCGAATGTGTGGGTACGCGCCTGTCCGAACCCAAGCTTCGATCTTTATTTTTTGCCAGCCCGCGTTCCACACATGCAAAGAAGAGACACTGCAGTTTTTCCGGTTTTCTTGCGCTTATGTGTTGTACTATCTGCGTTTGGGCGTATAGCTTTCACCAATGCCTACTCATTTAAGATTGGGATGGCCGACAGCGCGGAGTTAAACAACTGCGCCGTCGATGAGACTATTGAACACCTCTTATGTCACTGCCCGGCATACACAACCGAGAGGCTTCACCTGCGCAGTCTTCTAAATCAACTGGACAAAAGTGATTTCACTGTCGAGAAAGTATTGGGACCATGGCACTGCCCATCCAATTTCCGAAAGGCAACGAAATCACTGTTGCGTTTTCTCAAGGACACCGCCCTGTTTCGTCGTTTGTGATGTGAAAATGTTACGCGTCGGCCCAGTCAGTGACCGTTTTTCTCCCCCTCTATAACTTTCCTTCCCCCTCTCCCCTTCCCCAGTGCAGGCTAGACTACCGGGGCTCAGCCCTGGTTAACCTCCCTACCTTTCTCTTTATGTTTTCTCTCTCTTCTCTTGCGCCTACCGGGATGTCTCTTCGCAGGCTGCAGCATAGCGTATAGCCCTTAGCTACAGTATTCGCCAAATTTTGAAAGTCGCCGCGCGTGTGACTACTGTAGTACGTACTATATAGCGCGCACCAAGGCCTATACGTGGAATATTGACGATCCGTAGGTATCTAGATTATAGTGGTTCGCAACTTCATTCGCGTAATTTGCCGAAATCGCGTTTGCGACAGCGGAAGATTGATTTTGGCCAATCGCGCCACGCCAATCGAATCGGTTCATAACAGGCGTCACAAGCACGCGTCCATGCGGTTTGTCGCATGCGGTTTGTCCCGTGCATTACACTCTTCGTGCACCTTCCAGCACATGCTGTGGCAGTGTCACGACTTGCACGGGGGCTCAGGGTCTCCCTCCACTGACAAAGAATGGCTCCAGCTCATCACAAGCTCCGCAAAGGACCAGCAGCTAAGGGCTGTCCAGAGAACCCGCGAAGTCGCCGAGAGCCTGAACCTCCCGGCGCCATCGTGGGTGGGGTCCCCAGACGGTACCCCCTGACGGGGGCATTCTCGTCTTCTCCGGACCAAGTAAAGTTCATTGACTGACTGACTGACTCTTCGTCCCGTATACTTTTCTTTCCCTCTTAACCCTCTTTCTCAGCTATCTTGTCCCCTTCCCTGATCCCCCTTGCAGTGTTCGGTAGCCAACCGAATGTCTTCCTGGTTAACCTCCCTGCCTTCTCTCTCTGTTTCCTTCCTTCCTAACCCTTTATTGCATGAACTATGAAACTGCCGTAGAAAACAAAAGTTGTTTTCATTTTCCAGCTTTAAGAATCGACCATCAACTGACTTCCCAGTTAAATTATCAAAAATGCGCTTTTAATAATGCGTACTTTTATGTATGTCGCGAATTCTCCACATGCCACAGAAGCGAGGACCTTGCAATCAAAAACATACGTCAGAACTACGCAACATTTCGTGTGCCACGTCTTGAGCGCGTACACAGCAAATAAAATTATTGAACATAGAACTTACGTCACCCAGGAGAGAAAGAACGCAGGAGTGAGCGCTCTCTGCCCTCAACTACAAAACAACCAGTTCTAGCATAAAATACATTACCCGAGATAGCGCTTGATTTTTCATGCTCAAAGCTACGTTCCTCGTGAGTACTTGACAGCCGGCAGCTTTCTCGCAGTTTTTTCAGTATGTCGCGAATTTGCGACATTAGCCCGTAAAGGGTTAATATGTTCACGAGCATGCGACCCGCAATGGACAGCTGCCCACACCAGAAAATAACTTGAGGGGAAATGACAATGGACGGGTCGGGTCGCTCATTTGATATTTTTGGCAGATTTTTTGACATGTTATTTTTTTTTTCGTGACGTACGCCATGTGGTCATCGTGAGTAGAGCATATAAAACCGTGAAGCTGAAACTATATTTCAGAACCGGCGTCCATATTTCAGTCATTCTGGAGATCGGCATCGATACGTTTCTCGGATCCGAACTCAAAACCAGAATTTCAATTGTGTGTGTGTGTGTGTGTGTGTGTGTGTGTGTGTGTGTGTGTGTGTGTGTGTGTGTGTGTGTGTGTGTGTGTGTGTGTGTGTGTGTGTGTGTGTGTGTGTGTGTGTGTGTGTGTGTGTGTGTGTGTGTGTGTGTGTGTGTTTGTGTGTGTGTGTGTGTGTGTGTGTAGGAGCGTTGGTGGGGAAGCGTACTTTCGTCACGTTTAGTCATGACTCACTGCGCATGTGCATTGTTTCAGAAGGACAGTTTATGTGATTTCGAAAATTAGTTCGTGTGCGTTCGTCCTGTCTGCTTGTACTCTGGTTCCCGTCCTTAGCCCAGCATCAAATTAACAAAGTTATTTCTTATCAACTGGCCCGATAGATATAGATAAGAAGTCATCTCTAGGCGAGAATGCTAAACCGATGGCAGCGTTAGCTTTGTTCAAGCTCCCTCCCCCCTTCTCCCATTTTAAAATCTCCCCTTCCCCTGGGTACCCAAATTGCGCGGCAGCATATGCAGTCTATGAGTACTGCATAGGACGGTTTTATTCCCTTTGGAATTCACATCACGCTATTTGTATACTTTAGGAAATCTTCCTTGGTTGTTAGCATTGATGAAAAATGAGTCCGCGGACTTTTTTTCATTCCTGTCGTTGAACTACCACGCGTTTCTTTTTCGATTACCAATGGGTTATTTTTCACTTACAGCTAGTCTATTTTCAGAATCAGCGAGGGGAATTCATTCCCTAAGTTCATGGGTAGCTGCGAGCAGAGGTAGAAGTATGTACCGCGTATCTCTGTTGTGTTGTTTTTTCCTCTAAAGAAACTTGATTTATATATCCGCAAGGGCAATTGGCCACACTGTACCTTATAAAGTAAATTTAAGTGCTATGCCTCATAAAAAGAAATCAGGGAAGGATGAAGCTTGACGTAAATAAAAAGTGAAAAGAGCAAAATGATTCTAGAAATCAGAAATAAAAGATAGAAAAAAGAAAGGTTTTGATTGATATATTGTGTTCAACGTCCGAAACCATCATATGATTACGAGAGACGCTGTAGTGAAGGGCTCCGCAAATTTCGACCACCTCAGGGGGTTCTTGAACGTGCACCCAAATCTGAGCAGACGGGCCTATAACATTCTCGACTCCATCGAAAAAAAAAAAAAGAAAGGGGAAAAGGGAATGGTGTCGATAAGGCGGTACTACTAGCAACATATCCTTCCGGTCGCCTGAATGAATTCATGTTGCGCAAACAGAACAGCACTGCGGGCCGTACCAAACTGACTGGCTCCAAACGATAGCAGGTTAGGTGTGTGATGGAGGGGGGGGGGGGGGATGTAATACATAGCAGATGTATTAGTACCTGCTCATGCTAGCATACCTGTCGGTTTTTCGACAAACATTCGGTGGAGTGTGGCAAAACGGCGGCATGAAGTATAAAGAAGTGATCTTTTGTTTCTGGTTCGTTGCAAGATTGTATAATTGTTCTAACGGCTCTGTAACACCCCCACTCCTGCTTGGGCCCATTTGTGGCCTGCAGTATTGTATAAAAAAAAAAGCTGCACATGAGCAGCCAGATTTGTGAGGATAATTCGACCGGGGACGTTACGCCCACTTGATTGGCTGTAATGACACAGGTCCCAATTGTGGTCACTGTCGGTTGCCAGAAACGCTCGAACATATATTTTGCGACTGTCCAGCATATGCAAGCGAACGTCAGCAACTGATATCTTCGATTGACCGATACATTAGTCGACCATTAACCGATGAGGTTGTGTTAGGTCCTTGGCCTGACGCCAGCAGCACACATGTGGGTATACGAGCCGTCGTCGCTTTCTTAGAAGCCACTGGACTGGATGCACGTCTGTAGAGTTACCCATCCTAATAAGAACATATCATCTCTCTACCTTACCATCGTCATTCATCTCTCTTTCGATCCCTTATCCCCCCACAGCAGAGTAGAGTAGCAGGCCAGAGCAAACTATAGCTCAGGCCAACCGCTCTACCTTTCTGTAAATAAATTCTCTCTCTCTCAACCGGGGAGCTCTACAGCGAAAGCTTGTATGGGTCACCTTACATTGGCGCAAGAGGCATTTTTCGATGTTCCATGAGAACTGCAAGTGCAGGAACTACTCAGATTGTATGAGAGCTGTTTCATTTTTTTTTTTTTTACACAACAGGCGTATGAATCTCTGTGCAGTAATAAAAGAAAAAAAATGTGGAGCTACGTGTAATACCGGGTAGCTTAAAGACGCCGTAGTGAGGGAGTCACCCGCTCATTTAGGGAAATTCCACCATGCCCGGCGACCCAAATAATCGAACTTTTGATAGGCTATAAGTAATACATGAATCCAAAGTAACGCGAGAAGAGCTGATAAAGTTGGCGGAC